AAATAGGGAAGGGTGGAGGGGGTGAAGGGAGGGCAAGAGAAGGGGAAAAAAAAATAAGAACCAAGAGACTCATGTAATGGTACAAGATCCCAATGATGAATGTAACTGTATTTTATACCTAATATGTACCAATAAAGTTAATGGGGGAAAAAATAAATAAAATGGCAAAGAACGAAAAAACATATTAATGAAAGAATTACTTCAGAGTATATTTTAGATAGAAACCTGGATGTATGTAAATATAATGCGCTTCCATGAGTCTTGCAGACACTCTTAGAATTTTTTCTGAGTGAATTTAACAAGAAAACACTAAGAGAACTGTAACGCAAATTTATTATAACTGTATGCCTCTAAAGCCACATACCAAGGATGATCCATTTAAGAGTATGTGTTAAACCTCTTATTTTCAAAGAGGAATAGGAGTTAGTTAGACCCTAATAAGAAGATAGTATGGAAGCCATCCATTGGGAAATAGCTAAGAGCCTGGCACATAATAGACAAGATAAATGTTTACTAAATTAAAACCTTAAATCCAGGGTCTGTGTTGGAATCATGGTTTCCACACCCACCCCGCTGCAACCTCGGTGATAGGAAATCCCCCTTCAGGTGAAATGGACTTGTAACCCTTTGGAGCTTGAGCTGGAGTCAGGATTAGTTTTGGCTCCATGTAACTTCATCATACAGAAACTCGACCTGTAGGGGATTGCACATGGAGCTACATTTGGCTGCCATTGATAATACGTGGAGCGGTTCTGCTGAAATCTCAGTGTATGTGGAGATCACCTGGGAATCATTTGAAAATTCAGGGTCTGGGACAGTAGGCCTGGGTCGGGCCTCAGAGTCTGCATTTCTGACCAGCTTCTCAGTGATGCTGAGGCTGCTGATCAGTGAATCTCACTTGCAGCAGCTGGATCAGGGGGGTGGCCCTAGGCAGTCAGAAGGAGCAGGTATGGTGCGATGGGAGGGGACTCCTGAGGCCAGTTCTGTGAACAGAGCTCGGTAGTGCAGCTCTTCTGAATCCAGATTTCCTCATTAGAAAAATGAGTGTAACAGTAAAACAATAATACCTACCACATGGGATTGTTGTGAGAATTACATTAATAATATTATGGGGAAATTTATGAGAACGTATGGTGCATAGTCACTGCTGAATCCATGAATAATAAAAACATGATCACACAGCCCTGCACTGGTAGCAGTAAAGATAGGGAACATTTAGGCTGTGTGCTTGCTATAGTACAGGGTTCTCTGTTTTCCACCCTTTCCAGGCTGTTTGTAGTATCTAGAACTTCACAAGGATCAGCAGCAAAGGTATCACAGGGAAGAGTACACTTTTGGCTTCACAGACATTGATGTGAGGCTCATGACCAAGTGTCTCCCATGGTACTGTCCAGAAAGAGACACCCACTCAGGCCTTGAGTTCACTTTGAGCTGAAGTTAATCACCAGGAGAATCCTCAAATTCGGAAGACAGAACCAACTCCAATTTTCAGTAAAAGCTCATTATTGTTTGCCAGCTCACAGTCACAGTGTTTTCTAATTTCATAAATCATGCGTGAAAGTTTTCTCCCTTACACATAAAAGCAAAGATGAACCTTGGGAGGCAGGCCTGGCTTGTCCCTGGTCAGTGACTCAGCCACCATTAGGAGTCAGCCTACAGTGATATGGTCAGAAATGGGGCAGATCGTCTTCTGTGCTCCTGTAAACTGGCTCCAGGGCTACTCAAATTGTGCCCCAAAATTGTTCTTCTAAAGGTCAGTGTTTCTTGTTCACAAACTTGTAAACTATTAAGTAAAATTCTCAAAAAGTGCATAGCAGGTTGGGAATTCAGCTCACCAGTAGAATACTTTCCTAGTGTGCACAAAGCCCTGGGCTTGGTCCCTAGTACTGAGGAAAAAGAAAAGGTATATAACAAGAAACAGAAGGTAGAACACTCAGATAAAAACCTGCCACATCAGCTCCATCCATGGTCCCATTTGACTCATTTGCAGTGAAATCCAGAATGAATCAGCTAATCAGTGCTAAAAGAAATGAGATTAAGTCTAGTCAAAGGATGTAAGCCAAGTGTTAATAAAAGATGTTCTCCATCTCCCTTATTATCTATAGGTCCCAGGAGAAAAAAGAAGAAGCTGTTGCCCTTTTGAAGGAGTCCATTAAATATGGTCCAGAATTTGCAGATGCATATTCAAGTTTAGCTTCATTATTGGCAGAGCAGGTAGGTGTTTCGACTTAACACAGTAGTTGTAAATGTGACTGTTGAGTACATAAGTTAATGTTACACAGATTTTTGTACTAATGATTTGACTAATGATTGATAGTGAACATCTAATCTTTGTCAGTTTTCTCAACAGAAATTAGAAGCCTTGTTTTCTCACTCCAGTATTCCTTGTGCAGTGAAGGTGTCCTTCTTTAGACAAAGATGGTGCATTACAGGTGCCTGATATATTCTCTGTCACTCTGGGACAAAAAGTCTGTTGAGAATAATGTATGACATTTGCCACTTTTGTTGCTGTTTACTTGTCATATTTTTCTGGTGGATTGCTTATGGGCCAAGGGGAACTCAGTGTGGAACCTATTATTGGCAGTCTTGAGGACCCTGTGTCTTAATGCCTTTGCAAAAATACCAAGCTGGCAGGATGGACCCTGAGAGAACATTCTGCAGGGCATACAGCAGAGGTGTGTTCTGAATCCCTCTTTTTCTCACTTGTCTAAACGACTTGATACCATTTTTTAAGAGTTCTGGACGCATGCCCCTGGCTATGGGGAAACAGATGTAAGTTATCTTCCCTGCATAGATGGTATATGTGTTGTTAACACATGAAAATTCCCTTGATAGACCTTAGATTTTGCTGTCACACAATTGCCAGATTGTCTTTAAAATCAAACTCGACAGCTTTCAAGATGTCTTGCAGCATTCACTTGGCTTAAACATAAAGAAGGATTTGATACTGCATGTCTGTTACTTAGGGTACAATTTGCATTCAAAAAACACTGGAACTTCCACCAAGAAGCAAAATTAGGACAATGTATGAAGAGTTAAATGACAAATATTATAACCTTGTTTTCTTGCTCATACAATCGTCCTTCAGCATCTGCAGAGGATGAGTCCAGGGTCTCCCTCAGATGCCAGAATCTGTGTGTACAAACCCTTAATAGGAAATAGCATAGTATTTGCATCCTTCTTGTAACCTCTTCATATCTATAGATTACTTACAATAGCATATCTAATATGAGGTAAATATTGTACAGATATTTAGGGAATAAAGACAAAAAAATTCATTGCAGATACAATCCGTGGACAAGGAACCCATAGATACAGAGGCCACTTGGGCTTGCCAGTGGGATAGGTGGGCTTTGGAGAAAAGCCTTGTCTGTGATGGATTATCTTCTTGATTTTGGTTTGTGTGTTTGTTTGTTTTGTGGTACTAGGGATTGAGACAGGGTCATGCTAAGTCATTAAGTTGCCCACGCTGTGAACTTTTGATCCTCCTGCCTCAGCCTCCTGGAGTGCTGGGATTACAGATGTAAGCCACTGCACCCAGCTGCTTGCATGTGGTTGTGTTCTCCAGTGTACACTGGCAGTCCTTAGCTGTCCTTGACTTGTGTGGAAGTAGGTAGATGCGGGTTTCTTAGAGAAGAGATTGGTTCCATCCATCACCATCCCTGTTTCTCGTCTCGTCCTGGCTCCTTCCTTCCCTGCGCCCTTGGCCTGACTGGTGGCTTTTGGAGCTTGAGGCTGCCAGTCTGTCTTCCTCTCACACTGACTGTCCTCCACCCACATGCTTCTCCTCAGCAGCCCCGTCAGTGTCACAAGGTCTGCTGGATGATCCTCTGTGAGGGATTTCTCCACTGTGTCCTGTTGTCTCGTTCTGCCTTCATTACCCGATTTCCCTGCTGCCCTCTCAGAACAGCTGTCTTTGACCTTGTACCCTCCCATACCCATGTCAGTGTGGTTACAGGTTTCTAGCCAGTGAGTAGCATGCGCAGCAGCATCCACTGATGGACATGATGGCTGGGGCCACACTGCTCTGTGCCTGGATTGTGTCCTAGCGTGATGACCTGCCTTCCCCCAAGGACTCGGAGAAGCCGCATGAGAGCCTGACTTTGTCACCTCCATCAGCCATTGGTGCGGGGTGAGGCCGTCTCCTGAGATGTCAGTGTCAAGACTGGAGGAGGAATCCTACCTGCTTTAGTCTCATGAAGGCCGAAACTTCAGAGTGACAAAGGAGCTTTGTTTTATTTCTAACATCATGCACGAAAAGCCCTGTGACTGGGGGAGCAGCTGTATCCCCCTCCCTCTTGCCTCTGCTCACTCCCCGTCGACAGCGCCTGGACTGCATAGTCTGCTTCTCTTGTGTGGTCTCACTCATGGGTGTGTCATTCTCCTCAATAATTTATTTTGTTCAGTTCCTGTTCTATATTTTTGAAAACTGCTCCAATTTCATTGTGAAATTATGAGGTATGAGAAAGTAAATAAATGAATCTTTGTCTTAGTAGTTACCAGTTCCTCAACTCTCTGGCAACATTTCCTTGTTCTTCTTAAGGAAAGTGACTTTATGTTAAGTGGCAGTGTCACTTACTACACCAGTGGGGAATTCTTCACAAACAAGAATGGGATTTGTGTGTTTTCACGCAGTTCCCGCATCTTCTGTTCTTTCTTCTAAGTCTTCCCTTGACTCAGAAACAGTTCAACCACCAGTTCTTCCATCTTTCTTCCACTTCCCCTTCATGGTGAGGTATTTTTTCAAAGAGCTTCATTTATAGGAATCCTCAACATACAAAACTGATCACATGTTTTTATGTCTCACATTAATATCTAACATTAAAATTTAAGTATTATATTGACTTTTGGTGTCTCAGACTTATCTTCCTCTCTTATGAGTACAAGTTTAAGAAAACCAGCATCTTCCTTAAATACCTGTTCTCTCTTAGGGCTTAGCATAGATCACTGCGTAAGGCAGGCTGCAAACAGCAGCTCTTGGCTTCATCTGCTCTGGGATTCGGTTGCCTGGGACCTGGATCCAGGACCATTCTTCATAGTAAGCAGCACACAGACTTGAGCCAGGAGGTCAATACTTCACTGAGCCTCAGTTTCCAAATCTGAAAATTGATTACTATTCTGAATTAACCTTAATGTAGCTAATAGCTCTTACTTTTCTTTTTTGGTTTTTTTGAGACAAGGTTTTGCTATGCAGTTCAGGCCAGCCTTGCACTCACTATGTAGCTCAGGCTGGCTTTGGACTGACAGCAATCTTCCTGCCTCAGCCTCCCCAGTGCTGGTATTATAGGCATGTACCATGACAGTGCTAACATTTTAAGAGTGTCTAAAACTGTCTTCCTGAACATCATCTAGGTTCTAATGAATGTTTTAATGAGTAACTCAGGGCCCCACTGTAATTAGCGCCATCATTTCTATCAACCAAAATATTAATACGCTAATATTATAAAAATAATGTGCCTTAATATCCTAATGTTTCAGTGGTATTCCTTTTCTAAATTAATGAACTCTGAAGTTCATGAAAAGTTAATACTTTAAAAACATACAGATGTTTAGTGAATTGAAATTTATTTTAGTTCATCCTTCAGTATCTTTTAATTCATTCTTACTATCAACAAATTCTATAGCAGTTAGAAGCTTTCTCTTGTTTCATTTTAAAGAAAGCAAAGGCAGTTTTCAGATAGAAATTTTAAAAGCACAGCATGGATACTTTTCCCTCAGTTATTTTTAAGAAGTGTCAGGTGGATTATTTAAAACTGATTTCTTGATAAGCCTAATTTTGGTGAACCACTGTGGCAAACTGATGTAAAGCTACTGCAGCTCACATAATGGAAGTTGTGAACAACTGTTAAGGAAAATTATGACTGAGCCCATGATATTTTCTGACATACAAAGGTCAAATCATCTGGTAGTCTTCTCTACGCTAGATGTGAATACAAAATGCTATGCAATCTAACCAAGAGAACAATGGCAAGATTGAAGGGTTCTCCTTCCTTCCGCCCTTTGGAGGATTGATTTTAACATGATTGGGACAAGGCAGCTGTTAGGGTGAGCCGGGCTCCCTCCCTCTCTGACCTGCTACGTCTGTCTTCATGTTTGGAATTCCTTAGTAAGGAAGGAATGCTTCCCATGCACAGGCCAGCACAGTGAAATGGCTAGAGGGAAATCTGGCCAGCCCAACATTCTTTGGTAGCAAAGGAATCTGTTTCTTCGTGGCACTGCATGATTTAGCAGTATCATAGCATTTCAAACTCACTGAGAATATGAAGTGATATTTATAAGCCTGGCTCATTCTGTGGCACACTTGCAAAGCTTTCCACTCGCCGAGCAGGTCATCTTCCAGTGCCCACATGGGTGGGCCATGCTTCCCAACCTAATGCTGACAACAAAAAAAATGACCAAAATAAATCACCCATTTTACAGGCATGTTTACAGAAAATGTGAGAGGATTCACCTTTCTCTGTATATAATATCAAGGTCTTTATATCTGCCTAAAATTTCTGATTTTCTAGGACATTTTAGTATTTTTTTTTCTGCCATTCAATTTATTGACTACACTTTCTAGCTATTTCAGTGGGAAGATTTGATAAAATAGCTTCTACTTATTTATGACTTTAATTTTTAAAAGCTGTTGTGAACATTAGTGGCAGATGTAGGAAACTCTCCAGCTTGACCGCTCTCTGACCGGAGTCTTTGGGTAAACTTACTCAATTTTTAGTTAACGTATTGATTCATATTTTCATCTAGCTCACCTCTTAGTCTTGTCTCCAGGAATGTTTCAAAACACTTTGTTAGATACCTGCAGAAAGGCTTGCCTTGATGTGTGGGTCCACATGGCCCATCAGAAGGGAAGCAGGCAGATAAAAGACCTCTGTCTGAGTGAAGCTCAGCAGGTCCCAGCACCCAGAGGGAAGCTCCCCGCCTCCATCCCAGGCTCCTAGGGCAGTGAAGCTCAGCCAGTCCCAGCACCCAGAAGAAAGCTCCCTGCCTCCATCCCAGGCTCCTAGGGCAGTGAAGCTCAGCCAGTCCCAGCACCCAGAAGGAAGCTCCCTGCCTCCATCCCAGGCTCCTAGGGCAGAGAAGCTCAGCAGGTCCCAGCACCCGGAAGGAAGCTCCCCCACCACCATCCCAGGCTCCTTGGGCAGTGAAGCTCAGCCGGTCCCAGAACCCGGAAGGAAGCTCTCCCACCTCCATCCCAAGCTCCTAGGGCAGAGAAG